CATTTTTTATCTTATCCCCAATATTTTTAGATCCTTAATATTTCCAATTTCATCCCCAATATATTTTCAGTACATCCACAATATTTTCTATCTCATCCCCAGTATTTTCTAGCTAATCTGTAATATTTTCTTATATTTTCTACCACATCCCTAATATTTTCTAGCTCATCCCTTTTATTTTCTAACACATCTGCAGTATTTTTTTAGCTCATCCCCAGTATTTTCTAGCTCATCCCCTATATTTTTTTAGCTCACCCCTTATATTTCCAAGCTCTCCCCAAATATTCCCCACTATTTTCTAGCTCATTCCTATTATTTTCTGACTCATTCCCAATATTTTCTTAGCTCATTCCCAATATTTTCTAGCTCAAACCTAATATTTTCTTGTTCATCCAAAGTATTTTCTAGCTCATCTCCAGTATTTTTTAGCTAAATCGTAATATTTTTTAGATCATTCCCAGTATTTTTACCTTGTCCCCAATATTTTCTATCTCAAGCCTAATATTTTTTAGATAATCCCCACTATTTTTTTAGCCTAACCCCAGCCTTTTTTAACTTCTCCCCACTATTTTCTAGTACATCCCCAATATTTTCTAGCTTATCCCCAGTATTTTATACCTTAATCTTTATATTTTCCAGCTCATTCGAAATATTTCATAGCTCATGCCCAGTATTTTTTTTTAGCTCATCCCTAATGTTTTCAAGCTGATCCCGGTGTTTTCTATATCATTCCCAGTTATCTCGAGCTCATCCATAACATAACATATTTTAGCTAATCCCCAGTATTCTTTACTTCATCCTAACATTTTTTAACTCAACCATAATATTTTCTAGCTCATCCTTAGTAGTTTCTATCTCGTCCCCGAAAACTTTTAGCTCTTCAGCAATGTTTCAAAGACTTTTGCATCTCACCCACAATATTTGTTATCTTATACCCAATATTTTTAGATCCTTAATATTTCCAAGCTCGTCCCCAATATTTTTTTTTTATCACCATATTTTCCAGCCCACCCCCAGTATTTTGTAGCTCATTCCTAATGTTTTCTAGTTCATCTCTAATAATTTCTAGTTCCTCTTTAATATTTTTGACCTCATCCTCAGTATTTTCTAGCTCATCCCTTATATTTTCTAGCTCATCATGGGTATTTTCTAGCTCATCCCTTATATTTTCTAGCTCACCCCCAGTATTTTGTAGCTCAACCCTAATCTTCTCTAGCTTTTCTCCAATATTTTCTAGCTCCTTCCTTAAATTTTCTAGCTCAACCTATTTTCTATTGTCAACTTCATCCCCAGTATTTTTTAGCTAATCCCTAATATTTTTTTTAGTTCACCCCTTATACTGTCTAACTCATCCCCAGTTTTTTTTTGGTGATTCATCCCTATTATTTTCTACCCTATCCCTATTATAACTAATCCCTAGTATTTTTTAGTATGTACCTTATATTTTCTACCTGATCCCTAATATTTTCTAGCTCATACCCAGTATTTTCTAGCACATCCCATTTATTTTCTACATCATCCCTATTATTATTTAACACATCTGCAGTATGTTCTAGCTCATCCCCAGTATTTTCTAGTTCATCCCTTTTATTTTCAAGCTCATCCGAAATATTCCCCACTATGTTTAGCTAATTCCTATTATTTTCTAACCCATCCTTAATATGTTTTAGCTCATCGTTATTTATTTCTAGCTCATCCACACTAATAATTTCTAGCTCACCCTCATTGTTCCCTTGTATTTTCTAGCTCATCCCCAATATTTTGTAGATCCATCCCCAGGAATTTCTAGTTACAGAGGAACACTGAGGATGAGCTAGAAAATACTGGGGATGAGCTAGAAATTATTAGGGGTGAGCTAGAAATAAATAGGGATGAGCTAAAAAAAAATTAAGGATGAGTTACAAAATAATAGGAATGAGCTAGAAAATAGTGGGGAATATTTGAGATTGGCTAGAAAATATCAGGGATGAGCTAGAAAATATTACAGATGAGCTAAAAATACTGGGGATGAGCTAGAAAATATTATGGATGAGGTAGAAAATATTGGGGGTGAGATAGCAAATATATGAGGGATGAGCTAGAAAATATAAAGTATATGCTAGGAAACACTAGGGGTGACTCATAAAATAATATATGGATGAGATTTAACGCAGAGAGAGAGAGAGAGAGAGAGAGAGAGAGAGAGAGAGACAGAGAGAGACAGAGAGAGAGAGAGAGAGAGAGCAGAGGGGTGGAGAAAAAGAGACATAGGTGATTGAGTGTGTGGGAGAGGGTGGAAGGGATTGTGTGAATTTGGGTTTTTTTGTGTGGTTTTTTTTGGAGCGAGGGGAGAGGCATTTACATTTTTGCTGTTGTTTGCTTGTTTGCTGTTGACTTCGTTGTTGTTGTTTTGCTGATGCTGTTAGTTGTTTCTATCACTATCATCATCATCATCATCATCATCATCATCATCATCATCATCATCATCATCATCATCATCATCATCATCATCATCATCATCATCATCAAG